GCTCCTCGCACAAACACACCCTTTGGGCCCGTCAGGAGGCTGTGGAATCTCAGCTCCAGTTGGTCTTGGCAGGGCACACCTTGGCATGGACTGAATGTTTGTACCCCTTAAAGTCCCTATGTTGAAGCCCTAGCCCCAGAGAGCATGCCTCACAGCTTCTCCCTCCTCTCCTTCCTCTTCCTTTCCCTTTCTCTCCTTGCCTGTGACAACGACAGAAGTCCCCCAGTAAACCAGAATAGGCCCTCACCAGATACTGAATCTGTGGGCACTCTGATCTCAGACTGCCAGCTTTCTGAGCCTCGAGAGGTGAATGCCTGCTGTTAAGTGGGCAGCTGGTGATGCTGCCAGGGCCGCCATGTACCAGGGAGCAGGCAGGAGGCAGAGCGGTGCAGTGGCTGGTGGCTGGGCTGTGTGGGCAAACCCCTCATTAAGGAGACACACAGAGGGGAGCACACAGGAGCCAGGACTACCGCGGCAGGGATGCCTCCCGTCGCCAGCCTGAATCCTCTTTAATGAGACGTCACTTCGGAGAAGTGTTTCAGAGCCTTTCAAAATCTTGGCCTAAACCTCGTCAAACTGCACAGAGATTACTTAAGATTTACTGCTCAGACACAAAATAAAATAAAATAAGGCAGCCCAGCCAGCAAGAGCCTGTGACAGGACCATTTGTAGTCGGATGGAAAAGCCTCCGATTCATCTGCTTAAGCACAGCAGCTCCTGTTTATTTCGCACTTTCATGTCAAACGAATTTAGAGAGAGAAAAAAAGTGACAGGCAGTTTAGGGATATAAGTCACATTTCAGCTTCAGTTCAGATTAATGGACTTGCTGGGAGCTGGCGACGACACAGCAAATCCACACATCTCAGAACAACAGAAAACTGACTCGTGGATGTGAGCCCCAGTCCTGGGAGGGCTCGGGAGGGACCCTCTGCTGGCCTCCTGCCTGTGCACCTCAGATCCCAGGCCTGCACACAGACACGCTCGGAGCCCCTGGGCTGGTTCTGGGTCTGGCTCCCCGGGGACAGGCCCTGTGCCCAGGCAGCAGTGTGATTCAGTCCTCAGGACTGCCACAGGAAGACGGGGGAGTGCAGGGCAGCCTGTGCTGTGGGTTCCCAGGGACTGGGCCTGAGCAACAGCTCTGTCCTGCTGAACCTGTCCAGTCTAGTTCCCCAGGCAGGAGACGGGCACCTCATTCCACAGAGCCACCTGATCCTACACAGCAGCCTCCTAGGGCTGGGTGGCAATGGCCTACACTGCTCCCATCATCACCTGTCCCTACACCCGAGCAGCCCCAAGGCCAGACGTCTGCAGGACAGGATGGACGTTAAACCACCGACACTGCCTCTCAAAGGCAGAGTCCCTTTTGCCCTCTCTCTCTCTGTCCCTGGCTTATACATGCTTGTCCGGCCAGGGCAAATGGCCTCAGTGGGCACATCGATCCTCAGAGGTACTGGCTGGCAGCACCCAGAAGACCTAAGGGCTCTGCTCAGCAGCCTCTGGCCTCCTGTCTGGACAGGGACAAACACTGACTAGCTGAGACAATCTAAGGCCACCAGCTGACTCCCAGATGACCTTCTGTGCCCCTGTTGCTCCATGTCCAGTGCAGAGAGCACTAGTGGTGGGAGGGAGCTGCCCATCCCTTCCTGTAAGCATGGCTGTCAACATGGCTCACAATGCCTGCCACCTTTCTAAGGTGCCGAGAGCAAATGCCTCACAGGGCAAAAGAGCGGGGGCAACAGCCGCAGTGGGCAGCTACGCCACCACCCATCTCAGGCCTTGGAGCTGCCACAGCGAGGGGAAGAAGAGCTTCTGCAACTTCCCCAAAGCAGTACAGATGAGCACCCTGTGTCCTCTCCCCAGAACAAGAGGAGCGCTGACAGCCCAGGGCACAAAGAGCTCCCCTTCCCAGCATAACAGTGAGGCCTGAAGAGGGGTCCTGAGGGCTCTGGCTGGTCCAGCAGACCCAGGGCGTCTCCCAGACCCCTCTCCAAGTTGTAAAAGCCTTGGCACTCAGCAGGGAACAGAAGGAAGGGAGGGGCACAGAAAGGCCCCAGGATAGGACTGGCAAGAGCTGCCATAGGCAGCAAGAGAGGAGTTCTGGGGGACCTGCCCAAGCTTCCCCATAAACTGTGCTGCCATTTCCCTGTCCCCTCCTCAATCAACAAAATTCCAGGCCCCCAAGGTTCAGTCCTTGTCCTGTGCTTTCCACCAGACCCAAGCCTGGAAAACCTCTCCAAGGAGGGCACGGACATGCCAAAGCCGAGGAGCAGGAGTTGTGTGGAGCCGAGGAGGCCTGCTCAGCACGTGGCCAACAGGCTGCTCGCCAGGCAGCAGCCCCAAGGACTCTGAGGCCCCATCTGACTCCACACAGGTGCCCATGGCCACTGCACTTAACCACCTGCCATCCCCTCACAAGGGCACAACAAGAAACTGAGGCTCCAGGTGGAAAGAGGCTTGCCCATGGTAACTCAGCCCATCGTGGGATGGCAGATTCCCCTTCCCTCTCGAGTGACCAAATCTGCAACACAGTGAGTGTCTGCCAGGGGTGAGCAGGGGCCACCCCACACTTGAGCTAGCACCTGGCCACTGGGCCACCCTGCCTCACTTCCCACCTGTGTCTACAGCCTGCCTCCCAGGGTGGGGGACCGAGCACGGGTAAGTAGAGTTCAGGTAGCCAGCCCTGCTTTCTTACCACTGCAGTAGCCTTTAGTCTGTGGTAGCCTGAGTCCCATCACTGGCCTAATCCCTCTCACTGCTCAGGGAGGGGCAGAGTAACTGCAGGGTCAAGGCCACAGTGAGGTGAACCTGCCAACCACATGCAGGTGGCCCTGGCTCTGATGGAGTGCAGGCAGTAGGAAGTCGGGCACCAGCTCAGCCACTGGACCCAGAGACAGGCTCTTTCTGCTACTTCAACAAGCCAGGCCCAGGCACATGCAGCCAACAGCAGGCCAGGCAGCTGGTTGACAGCCACACTGCTGAGCACGCAGCCACATCAGGGCATGATGACCTTGGGGAAAGAAGGCCCAGCCCACTGGCAACCCCTCTAGCTAGGCCTCCAGAGACCTGCATTCATCCTTCAGCTCAGCTCCCTTCCCCAACCCACCCCAGGCCCAGGGATCATAACCTCAAGGGTCCTGGATGTCTAACAAGGTGTTGGACAGAACCAGGGTGAGGCAGTCAGGAAAGAGAGAAAGGGCCTCTTCACACACCCTCCCAGGGGAGGCTCCACCCTGCTTCCATGTGCAGGAAGGGCACTGAGGCCAGGAGCCCACAGTCAGGCTACTGGACAAGGACTGAGGGACTTGAGCCATTCAAGGGCACGGTGCTCCCTGCCTCCTGCCCAGCCACACTCACAGCTGAGCCACTGCCTACTCTCTACCTTATGAGCTCAGTTCCGCAGAAGGTCTTGCAACTTACAGCTGACATGCATGGTGTAGGTGCACATGCAGCCCTTGGGCCGCACCAGCCACCTTCCTGCAGGACCTGCTCACCCACTAGGGCCTGGCCTCAGGTCTCTGAGGAAGGTCACCTCAGGCCCCTGACCATGCATGCCCCTGGGAGAAGAGGGGCATCAGGCCAAACGCCGATCACAGGAGGGGAGGTTCTCAGGAGCTGAAAACCCATAAATCTGAACCTCATTCACGATGATCTGGAGCTCTTATTAAGTAAATTAATTTAAGTTAATTTAGCTCGATCATGACTCCCGATCACAGTGATTTAGTGAGGGGGAAATTGCATTAGGAAAGGCCATGCTCACCAGATAGAGAAACGGAAGAAAATTAGATCCACTTAGCAATGTGAATTAATATGGAAATAGCAGGTGTAAATTTAACCTTATCGAGAGAGTAAAAATTATCTTCATAAATTTGTAGAAATAGCCCCCAAGATGCATATAAATCTATTTAAAACAAAAATATTACAAAAAGTGCAGTAAAATTAATTTAAAATATACTTCTAGCTATTGCCTCCAGAAAAGTCAGCAGCAGGGCCAAACCTAGTGTTGCCAGAAGGGAGGCCAGTAGGCCTCAGACAGAAAACTGGGTGGGCTGGCCTGCCACAGGCCCCAGACCCAGACAGGGCTCTGTCCACACAGCCTGGTGTATCCCCTGGGATTGGCCTCAGGCCTGGAATCCTTTGGGGAGCAGCAGGGGAAATTGCCAAGCAGCCACCATATAGAGGGTGGCAGGACCCTGCACACATCACTTGGCCCAGTGGGCCTGCCCCACAGCATCTGGCCCCTCCATCCCCCCAGAGCTGGACTTGGCCACTGCCTGCTTCCCATCTCCCCACCACCCCTCCCCAGGGTGGAGGTGGGATGCTCCCACTGCAACAAAAGGAAGGGACTCTTGTGTCTTCCAGGGCCTGGCTTCTGGGGGCCCAGAAGTTGGGCCACCTCTATTAGTGGGTGGCAAGACCTCAACCAGAGGGAGGCCCCAAGAAGGCAGCACAGGCTCCTCTTTGGGGGCTGCCCGCCCCTGCCCCCACCCCCCCACAGCTTTTGGACACAGCAGCCGCAGCAGGTCAGCATGTGCTCCAGCTGGGGCGGGGCAAGGAGGAGCCACACAGCACTGCCCTCGACAATCGACACACTGGCAGCTTCCAGACAGGCTACTCAGGGCCTGGCCTCTCACCAGAAGTTTCTCTCTGAGAGATGACCAAGGGAAGACCATCATGGGGTCCCCAACTGTCTGGGCAGTGGCTGCTTCCATAGCACTGCACAGGAGGCCCCACCAGCTAACAGGCTTGCCAACAACAGGGGAGGGTGTGTGCACACGTGCACACGCACAAGCATAAGTGTCTTCGTGTGCGTGCAGTACACACAAGCTGGCCATATATCTGGTGCACAAATTGCTCAACAAACAGAAAAAACAGGCTGTTTGCCAGCCAACATGCTATACACCATGCAGCTCCCTGGGCGCACTCTGTTCCTGCACCCCTGGGACCCCACCTGCAGCCCTCAATGCCCAAACAGCCCAGGAGTCTGGGCCAGGTCCTCCTACCTGGATAGTGAGAGCCGCCTGGCTCGCCAGGAGGGTGAAGACAGGGTGAAGGGTGGGGCACTGAGAGGAGAAGCTGGCGTCTTCTTGACGATGCGGTAGCGAGTCTTGATCACCTTACTGGCGGGTGGAGTCCGCAAGGTGTGCATGCCGGCCACTACAGAGAAAAGTCAGGACACAGGTCAGCTTAGAGGAGGTCAGCAGGGGTCCTGGGGCCCAAGGCCGCCCTTGAGCTGGCCATCACATCTCCCACTGGCTCCAACCTGGTCCTACATGGCCCCATGGTCCCAGAGAGCCTGGCAGCCAAGGGTTCGGTGTGGCCTCCAGGAGACTGGGGCACAAACTCCACATATCCTCACAGTCACAGTCACCTGACAGGCAGGGTGAGAATGCTGAGTGACCGACCGCCTAGCCTAGGGGAAAGCAGAGAAGCCCAGCAAGCCAGGTAACAGCCCACAGGGGAGCGTCCCAGGTGAGCATCCATACCGGGAACCCCCATCCCCCCCCCCCAGGCTCCAAACTCCAGGGCTGGTACAGGAGGCTGGGGCAGATGGCGCTCCCGCATTGTGGCCCCACACGTGGGAGGGGCCCCAGAGAGCTCACCTGCTCTCCAGGCACCTTGCCACCACCAGCCCAGGCAGATTTATGTACTTAATCACTGTTTTCATAACATTCTGCAGGGCGATATCCACAACAGCTTTTTTCTTGCTGAATGTTTCAGGCAATTAGCAAGGATCTGTTTTGCCTGAGTTCCTTTCCACTTGATAGCAAGCAATTTCTCCATAGCTTCAAGGAACGAGTCTAATTGCCCGACTTTCATAATGTACAGCTCTAACTGCCCAGATAATTAAAGCTTACACGGCCACCTCTCATGGCTGTCCCTCCAGCCCTGGGCACATGGCCCCAAGCAGGAGCCCCTGCCTGGTCTGCCTGGGTGGCCTTGGCTTCCTTCTAGTCTGTGCCCAGCTTCCCCTTGCCCTGGGGACCCTCACCTGCCCCCCCTCCCTGCTCTATATGCAGAGCAGCAGCTGCTACAGTTCCTCTGACCCCTTGCCCAGAGCTCTGCACCAGCACACCTCCCTCAGCCCAGACTCCTGAGGTGGCACCATGGCCATGCAGTCCTCAGGAAGAGCAGGGAGCAGATGAGCCCCGTGCCCAGTGTGCCCTCACCCATGCAGCCTGAAGTGCTTTTGCCCCTCCTCATCCAGATGTTGGCAAAAGCCCCTCAGGGTCCCCCCAACTTCTACTGGGGTTGTAACCTCCACCAAGGCCTCCACTAGCCCACATGCTGGTGGGTCAGGCAGAGGGCAAGGCCACCCAGAGGGCAAAGCCACCCAGAGAGCCTGCCCCAGTGGCACAAGGGGAGGGAGTGTAGGCTGCACATTCCCAGCCTGGATCAGGGGGATGGTGGGGCCAGGTGGCCTGAGAGTGGTGGATATGGGGCCACTTCTAGTCCCCAGGATTGAAGGCACAAGCTAGAGGCAGCCGCCCACTGAGGGGAGGCCACAGCGACAACTGGATGCAGCCAGTTCCTTATGCCTGCCACCATGCCCGGCAACAGAAGCCCTCCACCTCCCCTCTGTCTGTCTGTCCCCCTTGCTGTCTCTTCCCTTCCCTGCCTGCGCCTCCCACCCCCCAAGCCTATGATGACAGTGACTCTGGGGTAGCAGGGGAAAAACAGGAACTTGGAATCCCCTGGTCCTCACTGAGAGACCAAAGCCAATGAATCTTTAGCTCTGAGCTAAACGTGCTTGGTACACCAGGGACAGCCTGGTATATAGTGGGTGTCAATAAATAAATGTTTGTTGAATTGAATTTTCAAGGTCTTACAAGCAAGGAGAGACCAACAAAAATCAATAATAGCTAGTTCCAACTAAGAGCTCAAGAACATGAGATTCCTTAAGTTATCAATAACCCCAAGCCGACCTCAGCCCCCATGAGACCAGCCCCAGGCTCCCTGCTTCTGTCTGAAAGAAGAGGGCAGCCTGCTCCAGCTCCTGCCTGTTTCTCTCTTCCCCCCACTCTCTTGTGTGGCATCTTGCCGGGGAGGGGGTACCCACCAGAACACAGCTTAGGGCTCCACCTGCCTGTTCCCCAACCCCAGGGTGCCCAGGTGTACAGGGAGGCATCAGGCCACCCACCTGCTGTTCTGCAGCCACCTCTGACTACATTCCATTCAGGCCTCCAAGGGCTGCCTACCTTACTGCTGGGACAGACCACAAAGCCAGGCACAGGCACACCCCTTGGTACCACACAGCCAGGCTCTAGCCCACTGGGGCCTGCGCTTCCCTCCTTTAGCCTGGGCCAGGGAGTCCCCAGACGTGGCCAGGCTCTGCTCCCAATCCCCAATGCACATCTTCACCTTATCCTGACCTCAGAGGTCAAAGTCCATTTTCTCCCCCTGGTCTGGCAGACACTACCTCCTCTAGGAAGCCCCTTGCCCCCTCTACCCAGAGGACACCACTCTGAATTCCAGAAGCTCGTCCCCAGATGGAACAGACAGGAGCAGGCAGCACCTGGATGGCAGCAAGGAGCTGAGGCTCTGGCCTGCCCTACCTGCTGGGCCCACCATCAGGTCAGACGTCTTCACTAACTTCCTGCGCTGACTCACTAGAGCCCAATGACCCTGCCAAGAAAATACAAGTAACAAAGCTGACCCCCTTTTAGAAAGTGGCCTCTAGTCACTGGTCAGGGTTGGGAGGTGTGCTTCCCACAAATCCTCACCTCTCCTGTGGTCCTGGAGGGCAGGCCTCCCATCGGAGTGGGACACAGAGGGGAGGACACAACCCTCGCTGGCCCCACAGTGGAGCTACGTCCCCTACAGCCTGCCCAGCGGGGGACTTCGTCCTGCCCTTCCCAGATGGCAGTGTGAATGCACTTAGTGACCCTAGAGGACACAAGCTAAACAAATGGGCTGTGGGGTCGACCTGGGCCAGGCCCCAGAGACAGGCAGGAGCCAGGACTCCTAAGACTTTGCCTGGTACACAGAGACTCCGGAAGCAGGCTGGGGCTGCCCTGTGGGCAGAAGGCAAAGCTGCAGGGCTGCTGGACAGCCCAGCTTGCAGACAGGAAGGGCCTCGCCCTCCTCCTCGAGGACACAGGCCGCCCACCCCTTGCTGGCTGAGGGTTTTGTGTAGATAATCATGTTATTTAGATAGGATGTTGGTTTAATTCCCTTCATTACAGACTCCCAGGGCTGTGATTTTTTTCTCTGCATGATGTATCCCCCACGGCACGCTTCACTCAAATCAAGCCCCTTGTGCCTTTATTGCCGCCAATGCCCGCTCCGCGTTATCAGGCCCACACACGCAGCCCTCTCCACCCGCCGTCCAGAGGTCACTTCTAATGACTAATCGATCTCATTAGCTTTCCTAATTAAAAACTTTACTACCGCAATGGAAGACAAACTACAGAAAAACTGCTGGCATCATATTTGAATGGGATATGAGCCCCATCTATCAGAATGCTCCAGCTCCTGCCCACAGCACTGCCCAACTGCAGACTGCATCCTCCTCTCCCCTACTCCCAGGAAGGGCTGGGGGCCCGAAGGGGTAGCCTGAGGCACCCCAAAAGCTAGTTGTACAGGAGTACTTCATTCTTGGAGAACAGACAGGGAGGGAGGCCACTGGGCCCAGAGAGGTGGGACTGCACTGGGTAACAGGAGGGGACAGGAGCCCAGCAGTCAGATTCTACCCCATCACCCACTGCTCACAGTCTGCATGCAGGTACACTAACCTGGCTTTCCCTCCTCAGGTGGCTCCATCACAGATGGCGGAGTCCTTCAGACCAAGGTCACACTCTTTTTTTTTCTTTTAATTTGTCACATATGACAACAGAATGCATCACAACTCACGTTACACATATATAACACAATTTTTCATATTTCTGGTTGTATACAAAGTAGAGTCACATCCTTCGTGCCTTCATGCATGTACTTATAACCATCGCATTCCACCATCGCATTCCACCGTCTTTCCTACTCCCATGCCCCCTCCCTTCCCCTTCTCCCCTTTGCCCTATCTAGAGTTCATTTAATCCTCCCACCCACCACCCACCCCCTGCAGCATATTACAAATCAGCATCCTTAAATCAGAGAAATCATTCAGCATTTGTTTTTTGGGGAGTGGCTAACTTCAATTAGCATTATATTCTCCAGCTTCATCCACTTACCTGCAAATGCCAGGACTTTATTCTCTTTTAATGCTGAATAATATTCCAGTGTGTGGTGTGTGTGTGTGTGTGGGGGGGGGGGGTGTGTATATACACACACACACACACACACATTTTCTTTATCCATTCATCTACTGAAGGGCATCTAGGCTGGAAGGCCACACTCTTAATCTGCTTTAGTGCAGATGAGAGTTGAGAAACAGTTCAGATTTTTATGGAACCGCAAAGGGAAATAACTAGCTAAAGAAAATGAGTTGCTAATTTCACAACTGGTTAATGAATAAGATGAACCTGGAACTACTACTTTGTGCAAAGAACCATTGGAGGCTGATGGTGAACCCAAGAGAGAAGAGGTTGCCCCTCCTCCTCCACAAACCAGCCTAGGAGCTGAGGAAGCAGCAGCAGCTGTATCAAGAAGCACAACACAAGTTGGCGCTCAGGAAGAAGCTGCAGACCCAGCTTCCTGTGCAGCAACCCCTAGACCCCACTGACACCAGAGCCCCAGAAACAGGCAGGGGAGCAGGAGGCCTCTGTACTAAGGCGGCCCACGGGAAGACAGGAGGCGCTGTCCCCACTGCCCTGTTCTAGAAGCCCCTAGTCCCAGTTTGGGGATGAAAACAACTAGGAAATGGTCCCTGACTCACACCTGAGCACAGAATTTGCAGGGGTCAGCTACGAATCACCCATGCCAGTGGGCCAGGAAGATAGGGCCTCCAGGGAGAATATGACCTGCCCAAAGGGACCCTGGAAACCACATCAAGTTCCTACCAACAGGGGCCCTAGGGAGTAGGCCCATATGCAGGCAGAGTGGGCAGGGCAGGGGCAATCAGGTGCTAGCTTCTCAGGCCTCTGCAGTGTTGCCCAGGCTGAGGGCCTTTCCTGGGCTGAGGGCAGGCCACAGGGATAGCTGCTGGGCTCGGGCTTTCGGTCCGGTCAGGCTTCTGCCCCCAATCTGGTATGATTCAACTTTCTTTGTATATTGCCTAA